TTTTATCGATATTTTTGACAATTGGCCTTCCAGTGCGTGGTGCATCTTTGACATCGAAATTACCGGAACGGAATCGACGCAACCAAAATTGCGCGTGATTGGCTGTTACAGTATCAGGACCATAAACACTATTCACATTTTCAGCCACCTGGCTTGCGTTTTCGCCTTTATCGAAGAAAAACTGTAAAATATAGCGTATTTTCTCTTTGCTAGTGTCTATCTTTGACGCGCGCTCAAACAAAACTGAGTCAACTAATCACAAAACTGTCAGAAAAGTTTTTTTAGTACGAAATCTCATCTTTCTAACGCCATCTAGTGGAACCCGATCGGACTTATACAACGCGAGATACAGATAACTAAAGCCATCTATTGGAAAAATAATGGATTTCTTTTTACTACACCTGATATAAGACAATTTTCAATAATAGAAATATAAATATAATGATAGCATAAACAATAATGTTTATGGAAGTTCTCAATAAGAACTTTTCGCAAATCGAAAAAATTTTATGTCTTATTCAGTAAAGGATTCTGAAACTGAGTACAGCAACCGTCAATAGCGTGACTATAAACTTTGAACTAACAGATATTAAAGAAATCGCTAATAATTCTTTTCGAGAATAATTGTTTTAAAAGTTTTCGGGTAAGCTTTTTACAATTTGACCATTTAGATCTAAACAAAACGGCGTATTTTCTTCAGTCTGTCTTTTATGAAAATTATTGATTTCTTAAAAAAAATTGTTATTTTATACCGGAAACTACAAAGATCGCGTTATTAACATTTGTACCTTAAAAATATGTGGGTAGTTTTTTTTCTAAATTTTTTTTCAATATGGCGGATTCAACATTGCAGCCGAAATCACGAATTTCATCTTATATCGATTTTTCTAACGCTTTTTCACTTTATAATGCTGATTTATTCAATCTGTCTGATATATCACTCCGCAACATTGTTCTAATATTCCTGCGATATTGTAGATTGATATATCACATTAGTATTACTGCGATACTCAGAAATATTACGTAGTGGTCTATCATGCTGGAATATAGCGGCAATATTCCTATGATACTGCAATGAGATTTATTATCGCGCAATATTGTTGTAATATTGTCACTATGTTGCCATACGATAGTCACATTGTAACATTGCAGTAATATTCTAGTGATATTGTAATCTGATATATCACTCGTAATATTGTGATAATATTGCTGGAATATTATATAATAATCTTGTGATTTTGTAATATTGCTACGATATTGTAATATTGCTTCAATATTGCTGCAATATTGCAGTGCTGTGTGGGATATGTATATTGAGTTGTGTAATATATGTATAATTTCAAAATTATTAGGTAAAATGAAATGATAGAATTTTTATGTCTGTATAATTTTTTAAAATAATTGTATAGAAAATACAAAATTATAGATATCAGCAGCATACAACTACACAACTCAATATGTATATATTAGAAACACAATATAAATATAAAACTACATATTTATTACAACTTTTATTTTGTATTTTGTTATTGCCATGTTTACAAATATTATTTTAAACGGTTACAATATTTCTTATAATAAAAGTAAAATTTATCGCATTTTCTACATTATTAAATAATATATTAAATTTGAAATATACTGATATATATAATAGGATGTCACACACAGTAAAATAAGATTCATTTATATATAAAATATTGTGCAGATGTTTTCATTAGTGAATAGCTATGAGAAAAAATGATTTTTTTTATAGAAATAATGTTAACATAATAATGAAATGAAACATACCTGTGGAGAACATTTTAAATTTATCGTCAACATTTGGAAGAAAGTCTTCTGTACATTTGACATGTCCTTCGTGATGTCATCCCATTTATTCCCACGTCGCAGTTTGTTGATCCTCTGATGCTGGTGATAAATAATCCTGTTCTTATTGTGTAACATCTTCCATTGTGTCCTTAAGTTTCTTCTTAAAACATAGATTTCTTCTTCTTCATTTTTTCTTGCTGTCTCTTCACCTATGTTTATGGGCAGTGGCACAAAAGCAGAATTGTTTGGAACATTTTCTACTACACTAACATGCTCACAAATATTATCGTTAACGTTAATATCAACATGTTCAAAATTTAAAAGCAAATGTAATGTTGGTACAGCATTATTGGTTAGGCGTCGCCTAGACCCATAAGGCTGTACTATATTTTCTGGAAAATGTTTCGTACAGATTCTCAATTTGGTCAATGTTGTAATTTCTTTAGGCGCACCTATTATATCACAAATTACATGAAATATAAGAAATTACATGATATGAAATAATTATGAAATATTAAAAATTACATTAGAAAAACGAGAGCATTGCGATGTTAAAGATAAACATGGATATCTATACATAAGATAAAGAAAATGTGTTTAAATTAATTAAAATATATTTAATAAATTTTAAATAAAAATATTTACTATTAAAAAATTGTCATTGCATCTGTTTAATACTTACCGATCAAATCAGTTTTGCCTATAGCTATTAGCCAATGTTCCCTTTTCGATGCATCCTCTGGGAAGCGATGTACAGGTATTTGAGATGTGGACTTACATTGCGGAATACAACACTTCCACACCATCTTGAAGAAATGTACCTAGAAAATTAACATTGTTACTTATATATAAAGTAAGATATTAATACAAAATAAAATATTAATTAATAAAAAGACAAAATAAACCATAAAGTAAGAAGCATATTCTCTCTTTTCTTTATTTTCTCTAAGAAATATTAAGTGTTATATTAACATGTAATATTAAGAGAGGTAACCAACTCAGTAAATAATTTGTTAACAGTGTGATCAACGATTGGCAATAAATTTGAGCAGAATATGTTAAATATGGCGTCGACTCCGGGGCTTATTTCTATTATTTGCACCGGATAAGGAGGGGCAATGGTGGAGGCCGGCATATATGGACAGCAGGTCTTAAAGGATAGCAACCTTTGACCTTGAGAGACCACCAGTTTGTACCACTAGGTACAAGTAACAATGCCTCTCTCTGTAGTCGCCCTGCGCTCGGGATAGCACTAGAGATGTCGCTTCCGAACGCATCTCTCAACGTTATCTAGGGAGGGGAGAGTGTCGTGAGCGTGGAGCGTCAGGTAGCTTAGTGATCTTGAGCAGTCGTCCGGCAAGCGAAAGACTCGGGTTCGATTCCCGGTCTAGCGACTATCGCGCTCTCGATATTTTTCTCTCTTCGGAACGAAAATAAGATGCAGGTCCCGAATGTACGGCGTCCCATCGCCACCTAGTATGCCCTCCTTTTTTCATGGAATATGTTAACAAATTGATAGATTTACAATATCTATAATAATTTGCTTTATTGCTTTCCCCTGGGGTTACAATTCTTTCCCACCCCCTACTTTTACACTCTACTTTTTTACAACTATATCCTTACAAACTATTCGCAATCCGCACGAGGGAGAGCACTCCGCACCCACACTCCATTCCTCCACTTTTTCATTCTCTCCCTCTCTCTCACTCTCCATTCCTCTCCTTTCACACCTTGATCTCCGTTTCCGCCGCTCTTTCTATCTCCTCCTTCCTCTCCCTCACCCCCCTCCCCTCTCCACCAATTCTCTACTTCCCTCATCCACCTCTCCTCCTTCCCTCCTCTCCTAGAATCTCCCTCTCCACTTCCTGCCATCTCTCTAAGTAATACTTACAATTAATTGCTTTTTATGATTATTGAATGGTTCCTGAGATAGAATATGATCACTCATGTCTAAAAAGACACAAGGTAATACATATTGTACAACACGGTTTATAATTACAGGTTTTACATTTATTTTAAAAATATCACTTTGATATTGTCTAATAATTCTTTCTACCCATGTACAAACATAAAAAATGTCTTTTGATGGTTTAAGTAACATACCTCTATCTCTTTTTAATAATAATAAGTTGGTTGTATCGTTTGTTTCCAAATATTTTTTACATACTGTGCACGAAATTTTTTTTTTAATTGTTTAACAACAAATCCAGCTATGTATTCAGTAATATCAGTAACAAATATACTTAAGGAAGGAATGCCAAAAATATAATCATGATCAAATAAAACATTTTTATTGGTAATCACTTGCTCACTGTTTTTATCGATATTACTAATATCACTTGCATTTTTATGTCTCAAAACAGAAACTGGTAATATTGATGTCGTATCTAATATTGTACAATTAGCATATTCTGATTCTGATGTGTACTAATAATTTTTTGTAAGCACTTTCAAATTGAATACATGTTGGATTGCTGTTAAAACCTCCACGACTTCGGATTGCACTGAAGAACGACTGCAAGTGACCTTGCAATAATTTATAGGTAAGTAAATATTCTATATATTTTTTTGAGTGCAAAGTTCGATATAATTCAAGTGCATTTTCTAAACAATATACTATTCCAATAAAACCTGTACTTCGTGTTGAATGTATAATGTGTCTACCAGTATTATCTTTTAAATTAGAAATGTACGTTTTAAATGTTGATATAAAGTCTGAATATTCTATTAAGGTATTGTTACTAACGGGCTGATTAAAGGGTCTTTTAGAAAATTTATTTCGACAGTTTAATATGTCAAACGCTCTATTCATTAGAGAACAAAATTCTGCAGTAGCTAAAGCTCCTTGAAAACCATCATATTTTTTCTCTACACAATATATTAGTGCTTTGTTCACACTATCGCTTAACACTTGTACTGCTAAACGAACATTCATTTTCTCATTGTGATAATTAATGTGACGCCCAGTTAATTTTGTGGCAGCTTTTAAACCTTCTATTTTTTCTTTATTATAAAGAGCGATTATATATTCCCATTTTATCAATTCTCCTTTTTCATTAAAGAATACTTTTCTCTCACCAAAAGCATTTCTTATTAATTTAATACTATGGGAAGGATCCAAAAATATAAAAATATTGTCTCTTGTTATGGGATGGCGAAAATACACAAAGTATTAAAATTAAAAACTGCACCTAATTGTGCACACATACATTTATTAACGGGTGCTCCATCAAATGTAACTGAATAAACATGACATTTTGTGTCATGTAATAAAGATAAGCAAGTCTTCAATAAATTAGCTCTTTCCATCGCATTTAAACCGTCAATTAAAAAATATCTTAACGGTATTTTCCAATGACTGTTTAAAGCAACAGCAAGAAATACCAAAGCGTTTTTTGCCAAATCTAAATCATCATGATCGTAAGTAAAATCTGAACCTAAGTTAATAAAACCAGAACACTTGTGACCATCCCAATGAACGTGTTGCCGAATTGCCATCTCGTCAATGACAATATTAACAATAACGACTCCTTCTTGTACTTTTTGTCTAATAGAATTAAAAGATTCGTGCGTGAATCCAGGTTTTCCGTCAATCGTCTCATACCACTTACGTATTGTATGCTCACTCGGTAATAAATTGTTAAAAGATTTGGTAACATAAGCATAAGCTCTAGCAGAATAAAAATGTAATGTTAAAGCAAATCGCCTTAAGTCAGAGTTAAAAGGCGCTTTCTTAACTCCCGATAAATGTCTTTTCATGATTTGTGCAAGCGAATCAGATGCTGTCGTCTGTATAAATAAAAAGAAAATTATAAGTCAAAAAAAAAGTCCGTAAAACAAAATTGACCGTTTTGCTATATTAAGAAAAAAATTGGCATTGTTATTTAAAACATTGAATAGTAGTACAATATAAAAAATAGCAACACAATTACGTATTATATATATTACACAGACTGTAAACAATGTTTCACTACAATATCAAAATTTCAAGATAAATTGCGATTTATAAATTAAATTATGTGCAAATTATATTCTATTATATTAAATACAAACTATACAATTAAATCATTATTATTACAAGTATATGAACACAGACGCATGCGGGCACACACACGCACACAATTTATTGATATAAGGATAAAGTGTTGTAAACTGTTGAAACTGATTTCAATAAAATTCGTATTTTTTGTTGATTATATTAACTACTACTTAATGTTAAATGTCAATAGAATTTTTTTAAAATAAATACCTGTAACATATGAGCTGCACTTTCTGATATTAATTGTTTTTTCCGTAATTTTTTAAGTAAATCTTCGAGTGTGTGCACTTTTGACTCTAACCTTTTTATATGTTTCTTAGAAGTATCTAATTGTCTTCGACAGTCAGAAAGTTTTCTTACTACTAAGTCAAAACAATGTTTAGCACGGCGTGGAGTTGAAAAATGTTCTTCTGTACAGTCTCCAACTCTTGCAGGACGCCAAATCTTCTTCCTTCTATCAAGCGATTTCCTACAAAATAAGATATTTTAGTCAACACAGGTATTTATATATAGTTACCAGTAAATATATTTAATGATAAAAGAAAATAAATATTACTGGGAATATTGTATTTCTATATTGTCCTGTTGAATATTTATGTCTGTTATTTCATTCTCATTTTCTTCTAACGTGGATGTATTTGTTGTCTTACATACAGATAAAGTTGAATCATCAGCTCTATAACAAACGAATTACAAAATACATGTAAATTTTCCATTAATCATTAATAATTAAACGTTAAAAAATAACATTAACATTTTCTTAAAAGCAAAAATATACCTTGGTGATGTAAATTCCATTTCTTCTTTTTCATTATGAATAAGTTGAACTATATTTGCTGCGTCTGACGTTGATGAAAAAAACGAGTCTGGTAAAATAATTGAAGCAGACAAAGACTGTTTTCTTATTCTAAAAAAATGAAAAACAAAATTTATATTATTAATCAAATCAAAATATCTTAAAAATAGTTTTTTAGAACGCATTAATAAGATGTGAAAAATAACTCCAATGTAACACATGTAAAATTGCAAGTTAAATATTTTTCCTTTGGGTATATTTTATATTTTACCTATATATATATTTATATATATATTACCTTTTTAAATATGTTTTATTTTCTCCAAAAAATAATAATGGAACTGCATCGTTCTTCAATAATCTACGTCCTTCATTCCATGCTTTAAATTGTAAAGAACTGAAGTGACGTGAACAAATCTTACTTTTTTTCTTTATTGTACTTAAATTGCATGCTTCCATCCATAACTTTTTATATTTTTCATTTGTTGGGAAACTAAAATTGTTAATGTTTAGTTAATATAATTTAGTTAATAATAGAGTATCTTACAACATCGACCCGTTAGAGGCATAGAACAAGTAAAGGTTGTTGAATGAGCGTCGAGGCGATTATGCGGAAGCTTCATCTCGATAGGAAGTATGGAATCTACGTGGATTCACGTGGAGTCCACGTCGAATCTATGCTTCAATCTGTGCTTCACATGAATTCGACGTGGATTCCACGTCCCATTCCTATCGAGATGATAGCTGACTTTTTCTTTACTTCTATGTCATTGTATTACTAAAATTTGCTTAATACTTACGAATGAAAAGAAACACTATTTTTCGTACAATACTTCATACCGCAAAGGACACATGTTTCAACCATGGTGAAGTTTTCTTCTTTTTAAGATCTTTTTAAAAGATCAGATCATTTATCCCATCAAGCGCTATCCAATATCTGGCACAACACAGATACCTACATCGCCATGTTTGCAGAAACTATATCATGTTGCGTACAACCAATCAGAATAGTTTATTTAATCCACGCATGTGCAAAACATATTTTCGGAGATGAAAAGACAGAGAAGTCCCGAAAAGTACGTTTCTCTGTCTAACCTCCTCTGGACACGATCTGCTATGTATGTCCATATATATAAGGTCTATGCTCTGCTGTTACCACAGGAGGTATTCTCATTAGCAGGCCGTCTGCAAACCAGCTGGAGAGGGGCTAACCTCTCCCTTCCATGGCCGCAGAGAGTCGCAACGAGCGCCTGGCATTAGGCTCCAGGTTAGCCCTCCTTTGGGAAGACAGACCTTCCGTCCTCCCAGCCAGGTAGCGCAGCTGCGTTCCACCCTGTCACAGTTCACGTCTCCCCCCCCACCTCGTACACTCCTCCCATATGTGCTTCCATGTCTCCTCTCTTCCCTCACACATCCTGCATCTTCTTTTTTCCTCTTCCTCCCAATACCTACTTCCCTTCAATTCACACCCCAGCCTAAACCTCGCTATCCTCCTCCATCTATTTTCCCTCAGCCCTTCTTTAGATACTCTGGTACTCCTCTTCCTTTCACCCTTCCATATCTCTCATTAAACCTTGACTCCCTTATCTTTTCCCATCTTTCCTTCACCTGTCTTCTCTTTTCCCTACTCTTTAATTCCTTTCCCCTTATTTCCCCTCCTGTTTTCCTTATCTCTTCTATCCTGTCTATTTTCCACCTTCTTTCCTCAAAAAACCTTTTCCTCTCCTCCTCCCATCTCCCTACTTCTTTCCCTCTCCTCGCCCTATCCCTCATCTCCATCCAACACATTCTTGCTATCTTCCCCCCTTCCCTCACCCAACCTCCTCTCATACCCTCACGCCCTTATTCCCGCTCTGCTCCTCATTAATTCCCTCTGCATTTCCTCTCACCATATACCCTGGCGTCCATCTTTCTATCCCCAGTGCCCATCTCAAGTATCTCTCCTGCAATTCCTCTATTTTTCTCCTCTCTCTCCATCTCCAAATCTTCACCCCATAACTTACCACCGGCCACACCAATTTGTCAAACAGCCATATCCTCTTTCCCCAGTCCTTTCTAAATCTCCTTTTCTCTAATCCCCATACCTTTTTTTTTTTTTGATAACGCAGGGGAAATCCATCATGGATACCCCCGACCTTTTGGGAGGGGGGGTATGTCAGACTCTTACTGACTAAAACCCCTGCGGGATGTCTACCATTCGGACCGTGGTGGGGGGAGTCAGGGGAACTACTCCCGTTTTCCCTCCCCGACACCCCGGCCCCAGGGCTCTCCGGGAGCCCCTCGCCTCGAGTACCGCGCCCTGCACTCAGGGAGTACATGGCGCAGTCCCCCGACCGGTTTCCCGGTGGGGTTGGCCTTCTGGTTTATACTTAGAGGGAGGGGACATCCACCCTCCCTCCGCGCCCCCTTACTTCCCCTCCAAAGGAGGGGGGGACTAATCCCCATACCTGCCCCATCACCCTCGCTCCCTTCCTTATCCTATCCCTCACCGCGAAAGATCGTATGCCAAAAATTGTTTTTGTTATATAGATACATTCCAGAGGATGATATTTGTGATCGATCTAACAAATTTATAAAATATTCTGAACACACTTTCCTCTTGTTGTGACAATCAATAATTTTCCATAAAAATTCTGTAACAATAATCATGAGAGATAATATGTTCAACTCAACATTTGTATAAATTTGCAATAATGCAAAATATTGTTTTTGCAATGTCTCTGCAATATTGCACTGCAATGTGCAATGTTGCAACATTACAGCAATATTGCTGCAATTGTCTGTGCTATATGGGAATATCCTCTGAATTACATAAACAAATACTCTTCAAACAGTATTAAACAATCCCTAAAAACAATTACATCCGTAAAATCTTTTGTCTGATCGAAAAAAAATTCATAAAATGTGTTTCGCCACGCTGAATGAGAAAATCCTCAGAACAATGTTATATTTAAAATGATGTATATTGTATTGTATCGGTTCGTTCCGCGAGAGGGGAAATGGAGGTCCTCCTCTCTGGCATGCTATTGTGCGCCAGCTCTCGGCGGCCGGCCGCCCGAGCGCTCAACTTATCGACGACTTTACCGACACTGCAATGGTAACACGAGCAGCGAAAGAATAGTTGTTGCGTCGATAAAGACATGTATGTGAGAAAGCGGGAGAATATAAAGTCTGCCACTTTTATTTAGAGAACTTTTGTCACAATGTAAATCGTGTTATTTTTTATGTAATAATATTAAATAGATAAATATAAAAAAAAATTGTATACCGTCACACATACGCGATATTGGATCTAAGTGAGAGATTGGTGCAGTGCATATATGTGACGTTGATTGCAAGCAAATTGAATTTTTGATTAATCAAATAATTATGCGCACATACGGAAGTGTTCCTTTGTTAATATTTGGGTGGCTCTGAAAAGAGCCGTTTGATGTTTGGCTCTGAAAAGAATCGTTTTAATAATCTGTCCAATGCCCTTGGCGTGCAACAACTTGTTGGAGACATGCGTCGATGGAATTGTGCAAATTCCAGAAAAATTGAGGCTCCCGTCTAAGATCCTCTCATGCGTTCTTCGCGTGTGCAACCAAAGTTGTTATATTTCTCTCATGAGCTCTCATGAGCAGGATTTTACAATTTTCCCCTTATGTTTTCTGTTTAACTGAGATCCGCAGATTTCACTGGCCAATTGAAAACTTCGTGCACTGTTATCTTGAAATAATCGAATTGTCGGCATATATGGATTTAGACGGAGAGAATCAAACGGTTTCCATACGAACTGCTGTTGATCCACCGATGAACAAAATATCCTTTCGTCCGTCCAAATAGTACGCTCCCAATCTTCTGGCAAAACGGTGTTTATTTGCTCTAGAGCAAATGCTACACGATTATCGCGATGTTCTTCGGTCAGTAGTATCTTCCGGGCAGGACGATAACAATATATGTCGGCGTCATTTAGTCTACATCGCGCAGTGTATGCCGAAAACGGCAAATCCAGTTGATGTACGCTTTGCGACAAAGAAAGAAAAGGATTGTTGTTTGCCTCTGCCAACAAAAGTGCGTCTTCCTGCTCGATTGATAGACGAACTCCCCTATTATATTTTCTTCTGTCGACAAGGCCCTCTTTTCCTTCTGCTTGCCACTGTCCAATCCACTTCCGCACTGTTCTTTCGGAACATGGAATGCGAATATCTTCGAATGCGACGTGCGATCTCTTCATTTGTTGCACCACACTCCCACATCCCAATAATGCGTCCACGGTCGACTTCAGTAAATATATGTTCCATGATCATATATAAAGATACGCAATAGGACACGACTGTTAGAAGAAACAGCAATGATAAAAACAAATGCATCTCGGCAATTGTTTTCCTTTCGCAGTCCTATATATCTTTGCTCTTCTTTTGTTTTTGAAAGAGCGCGAAATGTAATGACGCGAAACAAGCACGTCGGCGTAGCGAGATAAAAGATGTTGCCGATACGTTATTGCATCAGCAGAATCTATGCAGACGACGATATGCCGACAATTCGATTATTTCAAGATAACAGTGCATGAAGTTCTCAATTGTCTAGTGAAATCTGCGGATCTCAGTTAAACAGAAAACATAAGGGGAAAACTGTAAAATCCTGCTCATGAGAGCTCATGAGAGAAATATAACAACTTTGGTTGCACACGCGAAGAACGCATGAGAGGATCTTAGACGGGAGCCTCAATTTTTCTGGAATTTGCACAATTCCATCGACGCATGTCTCCAACAAGTTGTTGCACGCCAAGGGCATTGGACAGATTATTAAAACGATTCTTTTCAGAGCCAAACATCAAACGGCTCTTTTCAGAGCCACCCAAATATTAACAAAGGAACACTTCCGTATGTGCGCATAATTATTTGATTAATCAAAAATTCAATTTGCTTGCAATCAACGTCACATATATGCACTGCACCAATCTCTCACTTAGATCCAATATCGCGTATGTGTGACGGTATACAATTTTTTTTTATATTTATCTATTTAATATTATTACATAAAAAATAACACGATTTACATTGTGACAAAAGTTCTCTAAATAAAAGTGGCAGACTTTATATTCTCCCGCTTTCTCACATACATGTCTTTATCGACGCAACAACTATTCTTTCGCTGCTCGTGTTACCATTGCAGTGTCGGTAAAGTCGTCGATAAGTTGAGCGCTCGGGCGGCCGGCCGCCGAGAGCTGGCGCACAATAGCATGCCAGAGAGGGGGACCTCCATTTCCCCTCTCGCGGAACGAACCGATGCAATACAGTGTACAGTGCATTAATAAATATGTAGTCTAGTAAAAAGGTAATTTATTTGCTTATTAGAATATCTTCGAATGTATGCACTTGTTTGCGAAACAGTTTTTCCATTTATTTTCAATGCAGTGTCGAACAGCACAATTGTTAATCCAATGAACCTGTTTACGAGAAATAAGTGGACCATTGGCAGCGCTCTGAATTCAGTGTTCAGTGCACCACTCAATAAAAATATAATAATACTATGTTTGTATTAAAATGACACGAAGTTTAACGAATTATTTGTGAAAAATCACCGTAAATGGATGAAAAACAATATACAGTTATAGCATACAGTTTAGAAAACCCACTCCTTGCCAGCAATGTGGATAGAATCAAGTTGGGAAAAGAGTAAACATTATTTTTGCCGATTCATGTGATGATACCAAAGTATGAAGCAAATGCATTATGCATGTAGTACTGCAGTGGTATTGTGTATGCATGAAGAATGGAAAACTATTAATAAAGTAATTATTAGTAATTAAGTAACTAATCATTGTTTAAAAAGATGTACTGTGCCGTGTATATAAATGGTTTTAGTAAAAAAGGAGAAGAAGAAAGGGATAGTAGTGTCATGCAAGCGTTATGCAGACAAAACATACAAATAAAGAAGAAAATGCGATATTAAAATACACGAAAGATCCCTTTATGTTTGCTTCTTCCTTTCCTTACATCCTATCATTCCTTGGAGGAAATATAAACCTATGTCAAATAATTCTATTTCATAAGTGACTTATTCGACATTTGTTTATCATTTCCTCCTGATAGAAGAAACCACCACCTTCTCGCGATTTCCATCCAGCAGTAATGCGGATTTACATATTCTTTCTTACTAAAACCATTTATATAAACGACATAGTACATCTTTTTAAACACTGATTAGTTACTTAATTACTAATAATTACTTTATTAATAGTTTTCCATTCTTCATGCATACACAATACCACTGCAGTACTACATACATAATGCATTTGCTTCATACTTTGGTATCATCGCATGAATCGGTAAAAATAATGTTTACTCTTTTTCCAACTTGATTCTATCCACATTGCTGGCAAGGAGTGGGTTTTCTAAACTGTATGCTATAACTGTACACTGTTTTTCATCCATTTACGGTGATTTTTCACAAATAATTCGTTAAACTTCGTGTCATTTTAATACAAACATAGTATTATTATATTTTTATTGAGTGGTGCACTGAACACTGAATTCAGAGCGCTGCCAATGGTCCACTTATTTCTCTTAAACAGGTTCATTGGATTAACAGTTGTGCTGTTTGACACTGCATTGAAAATACATGGGAAAACTGTTTCGCGAACAAGTGCATACATTCGAAGATATTGTAATAAGCAAATAAATTACCTTTTTACTAGACTGCATATTTATTAATGCACTGTACATCATTTTAAATATAACATTGTTCTGAGGGTTTTCTCATTCAGCGCGGCGAAACAGACATATTTTATGAATTTTTTTCGCGCAGACAGAAGATTTCGGATACACGGATGTAATTGTTTTTGAAGATTGTTTAATACTGTTTGAAGAGTATTTGTTAATTCAGAGGATATTGTAATGAAAGTAAGAAGGTTTCATTTCGTACCTTCTTGATTTTGTTACAATACTTTTCCAGATTTTATTCTACATCTTTATACAACTTAAAATTATTCTTCAAATATTAATAAACAATTCCTAACAATAATCAAATCTATGAACCTGTCCGTCTCAGCAAAACAATTAATGAAATATATTCCATTTTCTCGGCGCGGAATATTATTAATATTATTATTGTAAACAACAATATTATTAATAATAATATAATATTCATAATAATTTCGGCGCGCCGAATAGAAAAAACTTCTCAGTATCGTCATAGTCGCGCCCGCGACTCAGATTACAGCCGAAAAAGAATCAGCCTAACTCGCGTCGCTGAGCGAGAACGAGAGCGAGAAAGAGGGAATTATATTCTCGCTCATGTCGCCGAGCTAACACGAGAGCGAGAAAGAGGGAATGATATTCTCTCTCTCTCGCTCGACGCGCCGACGATTGCCGAGCGCGTGGCCGACACAGATAGACCGAGTCGGCTGTGGTGCGTGCGTGGTAGGGGAAATTCGTTGGCGAGCCCGTTATCGATTTCCCATCACGGCTTCCCATTGACACCCTCGCCCTTTTTTCGCCCTATCACTCACTACTCGCCGTCTTATTCGTCGCCGGAAACGGAAGTCCTACAACATCTATAATTTGTTATTATTCTTTTTACCGAACCTGCTGAGAGACTGACAACACAACAACAGATAGACAATAGGAAGCAAGCAGGATTTGCAATGTTCCATTTAAATATATTGAAATGACAGATCTTGCTCGATTTCTGACATCAATTTGTCATATATTCAGTCATCAGATCCTATGATATTTCTGCCATTAAACTGCTGATAGAATTTGTAGTTTACTAGCAGAAATATGATCTGATAGCAAAATTTGATAGAGTGACTGTATAGAAATCAAGTTTGTCGTTCTAATATATTTAAATACTATATAACATATAGCAGATTCTGCTCGTTTTTAACCAATTTGCTGTTACAATATGTGTTACAATGTGTGAGTAGGCTTAAACATAATAATAGCAGATTAGGGCCGTAGGCCCTAATTTGAGGAGGGAATACGGGAGTAGTTCCCCTGACTCCCCTCCTCACGGCCCAACAAATAGATATTCCGCAGGGGTTTTAGTCGGTAAGAGTCCGACATAACCCCCTCCCCCCAAGGGGAGGGGGTATCCAAAGACCAAAAAAAAAAAAAAAGACCGTAGATAATTTTATATCTGTCGACACGTCACATTTGAACGATCTGTCGCCAATTTATAATAAAGATTTATAATAAAGATTAATTTTATCTACACACATATATATATAAATATTTACGTATATGTCAATATTATGACGCCACACGCTCTTTGTCCCTCGTTGGTCCTTCTTCTTTCTTCCTATAACACTGAAATGCTCTTTTTTGGGTACTTAAGTATACGAAACACCTTCTTAAGGATCTGCAGGAGCCAGAGACAAATCCAGCGTTGACTTTGGAGGCTTCGTGCGGTGAGATCGCGAACCAACACTGTGCGCGCAAGCGCAAGAGCAGGAAGGTTGGGTCAAGTCAGTTTGACAAGGACGAACAATCGATCGCATTATCCTTGTCTTACTCACTTGGGCATTTCGCCGGTCGATACACGGCGAGAAAATGCTTTCCAGGCTTTTGGGTGAGTGAGCCAAGCGTCGCAGCAACTTACGTACAATACCATTTTACAAATTGTCGTATTTTGTCTACCTGACGTTATATATCACTGCCAAATTATTATAGCATGTTTCTTATATTATTCTCGAGATCCCTACAAAGTTAGATTTTGCAATCCGGCCGTCCAAAATTTATGAAATATAAATGAAGCGTCCACCGTACCAAGCATCGCAGCGAATCACTCCAAAAATTATTTTACAAGATGCAAAATTTTGCCTCGTTGACGATACGTATAATTGCTAAACTGTTACAGCATCTTCCTTGAACTATCCCTGAGGACCTTACACAGCCAGATTTTACAATCCGGTCGTCCAAAATTTATAATATATAAATAAAGTATTAGCCGTACCAGGAATTGCAGCGAGTCAGGTGGAATACCATTTTACAAAAAGCAATATTTTGCCTTATTGACGTAATATATGACCATGAACTTGTTATAGCATCTTCCTACAACTATTTCCGAAATTTCTACAGAGTTAGATTTTACAAATAGGCCGTCAACAATTTATTATACATAAATAAAGCGTCAGCTGTACCAAATCGCAGCAAATCAGGCGGAATACAATTTTTCAAGAACAGATATATTGCCTCGTTGACAATATATATAATCGCCAAATTATTATGGTATCTTCTTTGAACTATCCCCAAGAACCCTACACAGCCAGATTTTGCAATCCGGCTGTCAAAAATTTATCATACATTAATAAAGCATTCGCTGTACCAAGCGTCGCTGCGAGTTACTCGAAATATCATTTTACGAGATGCAATATTTCGTCTCTTTGACGATACGTATTATTACCAAATTGTTGCAGCATCTTCTTCGTACTATTCCCGAGATCGGTACAAAGCCGGATTTTGCAATCCGGTCGTCAAAAATTTATAATATATAAATAAAGCGCCCGTCGTACTAGGCGTTGGAGCGAATCAGTTGAAAAATCATTGTAGGAGATGCAAAATTTCACTTCGTTGACGATGTGTTTCACCGCCAAATTGTTATAGCATCTTTTTTGAACTATCCCCAAGAAACTTATAGAGCCAGATTTTGCAGTGAGGTTGTGAGAAATCATAAATAAATAAAGATTTATCAAGCGTCGGAGCAGATCACGTACAATACCATTTTATAAAATGAGATATATTACTTCACTGATGTAATAATATATCATCATCATATTGTTATAACATATCTCTAAAACTATTCTCAAGATCCTCACAAAGCCAGATTTTGCAATCGGGCTGTCTAATTTTTATTATAAATAAATAAAGATGCATCAAGGTGGATCACGCAAATACAATTTCACAAGAAGAGATATTCCGCCTTGTTGGCGTAATATATGTAACCGCCGAATTGATATGGAATATTCCTTGAACTATTATTAAGGTCCCTACAGAGCCAGATTTTGCATTCCGGCCGTCAAAAATTTATCATATATTAATAAAGCGTGTGTCGTACGAAACATCGTAGCGAGTCCCGCGAAATACCATGTTATAAGAAAAAATATTTTGCCTCGTTGCTGTCATATAACAGCACCAAATTGTTATAACCTATTCCTCGATCTATCCTCGAGGTCTTTACAAAGCCAGATTTCGCAATCAGACCGCCTAATATTCATCGTATATAAAAGACTGTACCGGGCATTGCAATATGTCACGTACAATTTTGGAACATGAGAAATATTGCCTCGTTAATGTAATATATCACCATCAAATTGTTCGGCTGTATTCCTTGTATTATTTCTAACATCACTATAAAGCAGGGTTTTGATTATTAACACATATATATATTATAAGCGACTGTACGGGACAACAACAGGTAACTGTTAACTCCTACAAGTAACTGTAGGAACCATTAAAGTTGTTGTAATATTAGAAGTTTATTAATGAATTTACTTTTATTTCTTATATTTCAGGACCGATTTTGTAAATATATATATAGAGTGCTAAATTTCAAACGTAACAGGTAAGAAATCTAGAAAACTATGAAAAATATTAAAAAAAGCTAAAACACGTTCCATGATTTCGAAGGGGAAAGAGAATGGCATTATCAGTTTTTTATTTGGAAGGCATTTTCAAAGTTGGTTGAAGGTCAACTTAATTTTTTTAAGTTGAAAGCCTAGTTTTTTATTATATCTCCTTTTTCTACCAATTAATTTGAACAACATTTGTCTGAAACATTTTTTTATTGTTGTTTTTTGCTGTTGGGCAAACAATTGCTTTATAAAATCACTTTCTTTTTCGTCAGGCATTTTCACACCTGCATTTAGCGCACCTGATACGACACAGTCAAAATTTATTCTGAAATCCTAATTTTTTATATTTTGCGAACTCTGATAAAAATGTCATCTTTGGCGTCAAAAACTCGGGCAGATAGATGCTGCAATCCGTTCGATCTGAAAAGTCACAAAGGGAAATCTTTAAGCAAGATTCCTAACAGTTTGCTACGTAATTTTCCAGATTTTATTGGTTTTGAGAAAATATGCCACTCTTGTAGAAAACTTACTTCAGCCAAACACAATGAATCTGACTTGTCTGAGGAAGCCGAAAGCAATTTTTTGAATTCTGGAGATGAAGATGGCCCTTCTTCAATGAAAATACCTCATTTATCAAGAGAAGAAGAGCTGGAAGAAATGCTCACCGGGTTGAAAAATCGCTTCTCAAGTTTGTCGCCCACAGATCTCCTTCGTTTAATGATCTTAACTACAGCTCCTGATTGCTGGGGTGTAACGAAAACAGCGAAGGAGTTTGGTACCTCGAAACGAACTGTCCATAAAGCGAGAAAATTGAAAGAGTCATTCGGAATTTTATTCACGCCAGTTGCAATATCGGGGAAAACATTATCGGACGACCTCGTTCATGCCGTAAGAAGCTTCTATGAAGATGATGAAAACAGTAGAATGATGCCAAATCAAAAAGATGTCATCACGGTAATACACAATGGTGAGAAACGAAAAAAGCAAAAGCGATTGATGCTGTGTGATATAATAAGTTTACATAATCAGTTCAAAATGAGGAAATTTTTCAACAAAGAAAAATTTCCTCATTTTCAAATTAGCTTTTCTAAATTCGCTGAACTGCGACCGAAATGGTGTGTTTCCGCTGGCTCAAATGGTACTCACACAGTTTGTGTATGCACAATACATCAAAATTTTAAAAATATGTGTGATGCAGTGAATCTAATCAAACTCACTGAGGGAACTGAAACCCCCATTAAAGAATATCAAGATTGTTCTCGTTTTTTATTATGTCCTGATGCAACACTATCATGCTATTTACGCGAATGTAAAACTTGCCCGCAAGTTAATGAACACCACGACTTTCTCGTAAATTCATTTGACGAGAATGCGATATCGGAAGTAATTTTCAGTGTATGGCAAACGACTGATCGATACACCTTAAAAAAAGAATGTCTTTCCGCACATGATTTCGTCGAAGAATTTTGCAGTAAACTTGAAACTCTGCTTCCTCATCATTTTTTTTCTAAAAATCAATCTGCGTATATAAGAAACATGAGATAAAAGAGCATCGGCAAAAAATGCTCGTTTTCGGTACCTCGATTTTTGAAACTTTTTTTATGCCAAATGGTTACTTGTGATGACTCAAAAATCCCTGCAAAATTTCAAGATGAGCATATGCCCCGTTTAAGAAATATAGGGGGTCAAAGTTGACCATGTCCAATTAAAAAATATAGCAGCTTCACATTTATACTCCAATAATAATGTCCAAAAAATTCAGCCGAAATGGTTCTTTTAAGATTTTTGGCTGCTGATTACGAATCTGAAGTCAGATTTTAAAAATTCAAAATGGCGGATCCAATATAGCGGACGAATTTTTCTTAAATTCATCAGATTCACTTGAAATTCGTTACTCAGGGGTATTTTTGAGATATTTGAGTAGGTCCTTTAAAATGGGACACCCCGTATACAGGGCGCACGGTTTATCTGAAGACATTGAAATATCTCGAGAACTATGCATTGGATAAAAAAAAGTGGTTAATGAAAGTTGTTAGTCTCGAAACGGGACATCCAATGATACCAAACTCGACCTCCCACCCCACCCTCTGGGGGTGGGGGTTGGGGGCAACTTTGAAATCTTAAATAGAAACCCCCATTTTTTATTGCAGATGCGGATTCTACGCCACAAAATACGTAAATTTTGTCCGAAACTTTTTTTTTATTAGATGGCGCTGTAATCGCAAAAAATTATATTTTCCGCAATTCTCCAGAAATGATCATTGGATTGAGAAATAAAAAATATCTGTTCAATATTTTTAAAGAGCATAATAAAAGTTATTCCCCTCCATCCTTTCGGGGTAAGGTGGGTGGTAACGTTCAAATCTCAAATGGGAATCGAAGAGGGAACTGCTCGACGCGCCATTGTGGGTGTATGGCGAACTACGGCTTATTATAAAAAATTGTTTCAATGAAAAAAATTGTTTCAATAAAAATTTCACGTACAATCTAGTTCTGCAATGAAAAATGTGGGTCCCCATTTGAGATTTGAACGTTATCACCCTATCCCGAGAGGATGGAGGGGAATAACTTCTCTTATGTTCTTCAAAAATATTGAACAGGTATTTGTTATTTCTCAATCCAATGATCATTTCTGGAGAATTGCGGAAAATATAATTTTTTGCGATTACAGCGCCATCTATCACGAATCAAAAAAAAAGTTTCGGACAAAATTTACGTATTTTGTGGCGTAGAATCCGTATCTGCAATAAAAAATGGGGGTTTCCGTTTAAGATTTCAAAGTTGCCCCCAACCCCCACCCCCAGAGGGTGGGGTGGGAGGTCGAGTTTGGTATCATTGGATGTCCCGTTTCGAGACTAACAACTTTCATTAACCACTTTTTTTTATCCAATGCATAGTTCTCGAGATATTTCAATGTCTTCAGATAAATCGTGCACCCTGTATATTGAGTCTCCTGGAAAGTTTTTATTTAATGACGGTAGAAGCGAAAGATCGTATGCCAAAAATTGTTTTTGTTATATAGATACATACCAGAGGATGATATTTATGATCGATCTAAAAATTTATAAAATATTCTGGACACACTTTCCTCTTATTGTGACAATCAATAATTTTCCATAAAAATTCTGTAACAATAATCATGAGAGATAATATGTTCAACTTAACATTTGTATAAATTTCACTAATTATTTACAGTGAATGATTATCATACAGCAAAAGAAAAGTGTTCAGAACATTTTACAAATTTATAAAATCGGTCATAAGTGTCGTTTTATGGAAATCTCTTATTTTAACGTACATGAAAAAAAAGATTAATATACCATTGTTTTCATTTCTGACATCAATCAAGAATAGTCACAGAAAGTTCCCAAGATCTGTAATATTTCAAAGAATAAAATTATATCTTAAAAAGACGCTGTTTTATTGACTCAATAGAACGTCAATAAGATGTCACCTTGTTATTTGGAATAATACAGGTCTTAAAGACTTGGGGTAACTATTCTTGAATTAATAACACGTCTAAGTTTGGGATATGAAACTAAATCATTGTAAAACCAAAAATCGTAGTGATTAAATATAATTGGTGATTAAATATGAAAATTAGAGCAATATACAAAATGTCCCATAATTGTAACATACCAACTCCATAGGGGCGTAGAGCTAAGCGAGAGGAACGAAAAAGTGCTCTTCCATTTAACGATATCTTGTATAATTTTTTAATAATAACTGCAATTTGAAATGTTGCTACAACATTGCAGATATATCAGATGTAGTAAAAAGAAATCCATTATTTTTGCATGAACTTGTGAGTTCTGGTAGCCCCCCGAAGAGTTCTATCGATTTTCTTCAAGCATCAAAGCGCTAAAGTTTAAGGTAAAAAGTTATGACCTTTTGATATTTACGCAATTGTGAAGTTGGCCTCCCCATAATTTTATTTCGTGTTTTGACCCCTTTAATCAACGGAACTCTTTTTTTTATTAATAGAGAACTCTAGAACTCTTTGGGGGCAATCAGAACTCTGCTCATTTTTTTCAAATTTTGAAAAGGTGGGGCCAACTTCACAGAGGTAAGCAGCAGACCAAGTTGAGTGATATGAGTATCTTGTTAAAAAAATATCACTCGACTTGGTCTGCTGCTTATTTTTTATGAGCGCAATAGCATAATTTTCCATCTATGTAAATGATAGCATTACATACAAATTCATTTAACATCGAAGGCAAATTTATAGCTATAAAATTATTTTTTATAGCTATAAAAAATATTTTTCACTTAAAATATTATTAGACAATTAATATTCTCCTTTAATATGCTGTTTTACAAATTTTATGAAGCCTTTTGCCACTTTTCTTCACAATCACTATTTGTTTTCTTTATTTCTTCAATTATAACTCAAAGTCTCCAAGACATTTGTGTCTATGCCACAATCACTACTTATTTGACACTCGTATATGCCATCCTTCTGCTCTCGTAATAAGTGACAGCGCTGACGTATGAAGCAGTGGTTATCTTTCTCCTCAAGTTGGAGCGTGTTCTGAAGTCAACAAAAAATCGGCGCACATATCTTTTAGTTCACAAATGTACATTCCGAATTGCGGGTAGTGCGTTGCGCGAAAGATGAGGAGGCCAGAAGGGGCAAGACGGAAGAGATTCTAGTTTAGCGATAAAATCTGCCGCTGACTCGCTTCGTGCCTCGTCCTGCCGTGCACTCGCTCATCGGTGGTGCGACAAAGATGGAGAGCGATTGATCGTCTGTGCTTTTTTAACTTACTATCTTCCTCAAGGAAGTAGAGTGAACAATAACCGTCCCAGAGAGAAGCATGAGAGCGGGTATGGCTGCATTTACAGCAGAGAGAAGCCTGAGAGCGGGCATGGCTGCATTTACAGCAGAGAGAAGCCTGAGAGCGGGCATGGCTGCATTTACAGTGTTATGGGAAAGTTGTCTGATTTGAAGCGCCAACTGGGTCCATTTTTCATGGACATGAACTACTAAGCCAATGTCCACGATTTGTTGGTACTATTCCGTGCTATGTCCATAATTATTTGGTTCTGTTCTGTGCTATGTTCACGAGCGAGCTAGATTAGTTAGATAAAAACGAAGAATCGGTCTTTGTCTCACCACCGGCGAATAAACAATCGCGACGAAGCGAGCCAGCAGCGATGTTACCGTAAGGCAGACGTCGCCGTCTCCCCTTTCACCCCCTTGTTTTCCTTTCCACATTGTTTTATATTCATAATTCGGGAAGAAAATAATTTCGAGAGTTTGGACGATTTCTAGCAATGACGCGACAGAAATAACACGCGGCCACATTAATTTGTCATGACTTTTATATTACTTATAATTACATAAACGTCCATATATGCAAATTATAGATAATTATTGCGCGTATGTTTTAATATTGTACAATATGGCATATAATAACAACTTCATTTCTTGCAGTAATTTTTTTAAGATCTTCGTTGAGGTCGTGAATTAATTTTTGTATTCATCAATCAGTTTTCTGCAAAAATTAAGATTTTTTAAATAAAATATAAAATGTTTCTCTTCTCTTCTCTCCGAAGAGTTAATTAAAAAATATGTATTCCACAGAGTCAACTAACAAATGTGTAATCAGAAGAGTCAATTTAAAAGTGTACTCCGAAAAGTCAATTTAATAGCGTATTCCGAAGAGTCAATTTGAAAGCGTACTCTGAAAAATCAAATTGATATTGTAATCCGAAAAGTCAATTTATAATAGAATATTTATTTCGATGATTCAGCTAAAGAAAAAGTATTTATTATTATATCGAGAGAATAATATTTAATTTATTATTTATACTTATCTTACTTATGCTTATCCTACATATGCTTCTTTGAATGAAAAATTTAATTTGTTGACTGATTCAGATTCAAATTTGTTAAAATATCTTTTATGCGCAACTCTTGAACAGGTAGGTAGTAAAATAATTTTTTTTCTTTACGGATTTTATAAACATAAAAACGGATTTCACGAACATAAAAATTGAAAGACTCTCAGAGAACAAATAACTTTTCTTGAACATTTAAACCAAAGGAAAATCTTTTCTCATTAATAAAGAATGAATAATTAATATCTCACACAAGAGGAATCTTCATCCTTGAAATCACCGTGCGATTTTGCTTTTAGAAAAATATAATATTGATGTAATAGTAACAAATGCTATCCAAAAACGGCGCAAACTTAAACGTTTTTGAGAAATGCAGTTTGAAGTTTAGTCTTTTCTCTTAATGTCGTTATAGCAGAAGAATTACCAATTTACTTTAGTAGCGCAGTGGATCAGGCTTTGTGATATGAGCGTAGAGGTTGTTCAAGTGTGTTATTTTTACTATCACAGGGAGAACTATGTAGAATGTATAATAATACGCAGACAAATTCTTTACATAATCATACTAATTTTTTTTTAGCATGAATAAAAATGATCAATGTTAACATGATAAGTGTATATTGTAATTGTACGTGTACACATACACATACACATACACACGTATACCAATGATGTCAAAACCGAACAATTCGTGAAAATTTTTTATTGATCGCAATTGTACGCAAAGACGAAAGAGAAGTACACGGGTCTCCACAGGTATCTCGTCATATTAATTGTCTATGAACTGATAAACAGTTGATCTCCGGTATTTACAAGTTACGCTTGTCTGCAGCTTGTTCGGTTTTGACATCATTGGTAGCAGTGATGCGAATTTGGTGACGGACTTGCACGAGGATTCTCCTCCCCCCCCCATATACGCATACAGCCGGCTCGGTCTATCCGTGTGAGCCACGCGATCGGCAATCGTCGACGCGCCGAGCGAGCGAGCGAGCGAGCGAGCGAGAGAGAGAGAGAGAGAGAGAGAGAGAGAGAGAGAGAGAGAGAGAGAGAGAGAGAGAGAGAGAGAGAGAGAATATCATTCCCTCCTTGTCGCTCTCGTTCTCGCTCAGCGAGCAAGCCTAATTCTTTCTTGCCCATAATCTGAATTGCGGGCGCGACTGTCTCTTTCTCCTTTCCTCTCTAGGACAATACTGAAAAGTTTTGTCTACTCGGCGTACCGAAATTATTATACATAATATTTTATTATTAATAATATTATTATTTGTAATATATATTATTTGTAATATTATTATTTGTAATTTTATTTGTAATTGTATAATAATGTTACAAATAATACAAATTTTTACAAATGTTACTTGTAAAAATTTATATCATTTGTAATATTATTTGTAATAGTATTGATAATATTCGGCGCCAAGAAAATGAAATATATTTTATTAATTATTTTGCGGAGTCGGGCAGGTTCACAGGTTTGATTATTGAATTATTTAATAATATTTTAAGAATAATTTTAAATTATACAAGGATGTAGTATGAAATATAAAAGAATATTGTAACAGAATCAAGAAGTACGAAATGAAACCTCTTTGCTTTTATTACAATATCCTGTAAGTTAATAAATATTTTTCATACAATATTAAATAATCTCCAAAAGCAATTACATCCGTGAAATTTTCTATCTGCGCGAAAAAAAATTCATAAAATATATTTGTTTCGTCGCTCTAAATGAGAAAACTCTCAGAACAATGTCATAGTTGTTCAGTGCACTACTCAATAAAAATATAATAATACTATGTTTGTATGTGTGAAGAATATTGGTTAACTTACAGGATATTGTAATAAAAGCAAGGAGGTTTTATTTCGTATTTCTAAGGCCAAGACTTATTAACGGCTAAAGACATATTCGAATTGATCTTGCCTTAATTGGTCGGATCAGTGATCGGTCTTGCCTTAAGTTCCAAGCCTCATAACTCGGAAAGTACTCAATGAAATGTAACTTTGTTAGAGTGTTTTGGAAAGCTCTCGAGATAAACTACAAGAATATGTTATAAAACATAGTAGTTTCTATTTAAAAAAACATTAATGACCTTGGCCTGATTTTGACAAGGTCACTCAAGATCAAGTCTACATTTCCGTCATGTGTCGTCCTTCAAGCCATGCAACTTTCGTTCGAAAGATTTTTTAATAAAATCATCGATAATGGACCATATCACTTTAGTTAGAAAAGTCTGAAAACCGTCAAATACCTTGAAAACGAAACATTTTTAAGAAAAATATTTCCAACTAAAGTTGTAGGGTTTTAAAAGTTCTATTGAATGATCATATCCGGTTGACTTTGAATAGAGGAGTCAAGGCGAAGTCAATGCCAACATGATTTTTTTAAATAGAATATCCCATTTTTTATCACATAGTGTTAAAGATGACAGCGAGACGTCCAAAACACTACTTGATGACCTATTTTTGTTGAGAATTGTCTAAGTTATGAGCTTTAGAATTTACGGTGCCGCCAGCATTAGTATTATTCAGGATGTACCGCGAGGAGGTTGCATGGTCAGACTTTACACCCCCCTGTGTGTGTGTGTATGTGTGTGTGTATGTGTCAGCAAAAATAAGGACTCCACGGTTCGTCACTACCGCAGTATTTAATGACTCCAAACCCTCTCTGCTATATGTGTGTGTGCGCGCTCGCGCGCATGCGCGTGAGTATGTAGACGGGTTTTTATTGAATTAAGTATTCAAATTGTCTTCCGTCTGCTGCTTGACAATAACCTTATCGTAGATGAAATTTTTTTAAAACGTTTCATCTCATTTTTGGTGAAATAAGATTTACTTGGTGCAGTATGCGTTTCCTA